TAGCTGCTCAAAACTGAATGGTGCTAAAGGCTTTACACACTTCTGATGTAATGGAATTGCAGTACTGTCCCAATATTTCTTGTGTCTTCAGGACTGGCCACTTTTATCATGGATTCGAATCTGCTTTTCTCTGAGGACTTTAAATTAACTACCTGGTGGCCTTTTTTGTGAGAAGGATTTTTGCAATTATTCTTTCTTCTTTCACATCTAGTCATAAATTCCAGTGGATTACCTGTGTAATTTACTGTGCAGTAACTACTGGTTCCAGATGAAACTTCATGGTTCCATTAAACATCTCCAGTAACCACTAGTAAAGCTAAGACCACATAATTGTAGCTTCTTGAATTCTGCTTTTAGGTTGCAGCGAACTAGAATTATAAATACAATTCTGACTTGAGAAATCTAGCATTCCCCATTTCATACTGCACAAAAAGGTGGCCCCATAGTTGCTTAAATTACACTGACCAAACTATGAACAAATAAATGCAGAAAAAAAATGTTTAGAACTCAAACTCAAAATTACAGTTGTAGAAATTAATACAGTTTGGGGTGGGAAGCATCTTCGATTTCTATTCCACGTGTATAGTAACAAGTAATACAAAGATGAGTGGTATTTTATATCCTTACGCATGTGCTTACACGAGCAGAGAAAGGTGAAAATGGGAAACAAGCAAATCACTCTTTCCTACTTTAACAACTTAGGCGAGATCGTTTTGTAAATCAAGGTGAGGCAAAAAAGACTCGCCCAACAGCACGAAGAGAAGAGCCGGGGTTTGAGAGATATCCCAAGAGCTTCAGTGAGTCCAGAAGAAATGAACCACCACAGCCAAGAAGTGAACTCCGGGACACGGACAGACGGGAAGTGCGAGGAGACAGAGATGAAAGGAGAACGGTGATAATTCACGACAGACCAGAAATACCACACGGCCGACATCCCAGAGAAACCGGTTCCAACCCACCTAGGCAAACAAATTGGAAGAGTGAGGGAAGCATAAGCACAGACAAACGAGATGGCAGGTAAATTTGCTGACTAACCAGTGAAAGTACTGACTCTTGTAGAATTTATCCATAGTAGCAATTCCTCAAGCATTAGTGTCTGAAGAGACAATAGACCCTCCCCTCTTAATGAAAAGCATTGGAAGAAATGCATAGGTTATCAAATGCTAAATCTCATCTAGGAACTGCATGCTGACTCCCGGCAGTCTGTTCTTAATCATGAGTAGTAACACAGTTAAGGAGGCTTTTATGTAGAATGCAGATGTAAATGAGTAGCATGTGAGTATTAATTACTTAAAAAGCCACATAGATCTAAAAGAATGTTTCTAAGAAGTCAGATGCATGTGGTTAAGAACCACAGGAATCTCTGCTGTCTACATGTGCTGTGATTTGGTACCAGTTCAACTATACTGAAACCAAAATTTTGATGAAAGCAATTTTTACAGAGGCGAGCGGCCGGATCGGTCGGGAAGGGAAGTGTCCGGCCACGTGAGGGGAGCACCTCCCGGGAGCCGCAGCAGCGCCTCCGGCTATGGAGGCAGGGAAGGAGAGCGCGGCGTGATGGGAGAGAGAGGTGGAGGACAAGTGAGTCACCTTCTTATGTTTGTGTGCGTGAAGGAGAGGCTGGAAAATGCAGACTAATGCTGGAAAAATGACCATATAACATCATCAAAATGATTCACAAGCATTCTGCCTATTTTCAACTTAGTTTTCTTTATGTTAAAGGTTCTTGTTTAATAACAGAAGAAATTGCAGAAGAATTACCCTATTCTCCTTGTCTGGCATCTTTATGATCAGAACAGTACCTGAGAGAGCAGATGATTAAGCTTTTGTGAATTGGTCCTCATCTTTTCAGGGTTTTAACCATACACTGCCTGCTACTTTCAGTGCAGTTTGCAATTCTAATTTGTAATGTGATACTGAGCAAAAATCCTTCTGCAAGACTTGTCTTTAAAGACTACAGATTAACTCACTCCTGCTGGTAAATCTTGAAGTATTTAAAAAATATTAATGTTCTTCCTGAGTTTTATGCCAGTGACAATTAGATCAGGGCAGAATTGGGAGTAGAGTATGAGGTTGTGGAACTTCACTCCCTGCATACCCACACACATCATTGCAACTAAGTTTCTGTTACCTAGAATTAACAGGAATATTGTAGACGTGTGAGCAGCCTATGGACTGAAGTCTTAAAAGGGGCTGGACTTGCATTTATTCTATCATCTATAAGCTTGCTTTTCTTGACAAGCCTGTTTCCTGTAGACAAAACAGGATTCTCACCCTTCCTTGTGAGAATGACTGACTGTCACTTTCTCCCCAGCACTACAACGAGGACAGACACGTCGTAGAACGCCACAGTCGTGAAACTGGACCAAGGAAAGAATGGCATGGACCTAGTTCTCAAGGAAGTAGCTATCATGACACAAGGAGAATGGGAGATGGCCGTGGAGGAGGGGGCATGATGGCTCCACACACAAGGTATGGAAATCACTCCCTGTCCATTCCCTACTGAGCCCCTGCAAGCTTTGGTGTCCATAGCAAGTGCAGCAGTGTGGGTAGCAGCAGGGTGACTCCCTGGGGCTGCTGCACAGCACACAGCCCCACCTGCCCAGCCAGCACAGGGCTCCCTGGGGGTGTTGCTGCTGGCAGCATGGCCCAGCAGCACAGGAGTGAGGGACTTCCTGCAAAGTCTCTTTCCCTGCATGTTTTCAAGTCTCTTTTGAGACGTACAGTTTGACAGTTGAGTGATAGATGTAAGAATGTTATTACCTGTGCACCAGGAGTTTAGGTATGTATCATAACACTTTTTTTAAAACTTCTATTTCCAGTAACTCTTCACCCATTAATAGAGTTGTACAGATCACAGGCAATTCCATGCAGAGGGGAAGTGGCTCAGGATTTAAGCCATTTAAAGGTGGACCTCCGCGAAGATTCTAAGATCTACAGCTGTTTGGTTTCAAGATAACTTATTGAAATCTCTTGTAAACTTTCTCTGATTAAGAACAGGAAATCTTGTCTGGAAATCCTGGTTAAATTTTTTTAATTTAACATGATTATTTTCCTCTCAATTTTGGAGGCATTTTAATAGTTGCGTTGTAATTTTGGATAGTTTTTGTGTATCTTTGATAAGCATTTTCCCTGAGGCACTAGAGCTCTGTATAAAAAAAATGGAACCAAAATTGTTAATTCTGTATAAAAGAATAGTTTGCAGCTGTGTGCTAGTAGTTTGATTTGCCAACATTAGCTCTGTGGTGTCATGCTTTAAAGTTAGCTACTTCTCACAACATCCACAATAACCTCCATTTTGAAGGTTGTCCAGGCTATTATCTCTGCTTTCTAATTTGTAGAGAAATAAGATTTGTTCTTTCATTACTGGGTATTATGTAACCTATTTTTGCAGAAGGTACTGTTACATTGAGTGCATTTATGTGTATTCTTGCAAATGTATTCTTTTGAAATAAACCTTCATATTCTGTATAGCTTCTAGTAAGTCTTTAAAGCAGTCTTTGGGGGAAGGAAGGCAGAATTAAACAGATATGTTGGTATAGCAAATCAAAGCATGGGTCCCATTAGGTTCTATCTGAAACTTCCTTGTCTCCTTCACTGTTACTGAATTGAAAACTTAGAAGCACATTTGCTCACAGAAGATAGATTAGAACCAAAAAATAGCAAAACACTCAAGCAAGCCCCAAAAAAATAATTTTCGTTTGCTCTTTGTGTTTAGCAAAGGTCTGTGGAAGTTTGAAAGAGCTGGGGTTTTACACCAGCCTACCACAAACTGCCTACAGGGCTTGGGGACTCCTGCAGCTGCTCACTGATGTGGCCTTGAGCAAAAGGCTGCATCTTGTTAAGCCCTTTGTTTTGGGTCAGCATGGAAGAGCCTGTGTTAAACCTTTCTGGAGCAGGCCCAAATTGAAATGCCAGGCCAGGACTCATTCATCACTCAGCCAGGTAAGGGTATAGTTACAACCCTGCTGTCCAGCAAGGGAGAAAAGGAAATGAATCCCATTTGGAAAAGCTGGGTGGTGGATGGTTACCCAAATGAAAAGGGGACTCCTAGCAGCACAGAAGAGCTTAGGAAATAGTCCTTGAATATAAGCTGGAAGTGTTTACTGATGCAGATTGCATGTGAAAGAAGGATTTAAGTCACATTCTTGAAGATGTGAGGAAGTAAGAAGATGCTGATTTCTGCTTGCTGTGTGGAAGAACTGCTAAGCACCTGCAGTGTTCCAGGGCAAGTAAGAGCAGAGAATGAATGAAACTAAACTGGTTTTGAGAAAGTAGCCTTTCAGGAAAGATGGAGGAGAGAGAAACCTGCTGTTTAACAGCATTGTCTCTAATTAATCCTATATGGATATTCACATCTGACAAATACTTAGGTTTAAACAAAAGAAATGCACTGTCTCAGCAAGTGTGTCACTTACCTTGATATATTTAATACATCTTGTTAATTCTTGAAAGAAAAAATCTAAGTTAAATTTCCTGAGTTTTGCTGCAGGAGTTTCCAAGAGAAAGTACAAGTTCCCAGTGCATTTTCAAAAGTACTTGTGCATTTGGCTGCAGTCTGTGCTTTATGAGCTGTGACAACACACACAAAACAAGTATCTGATCCAAGATGAATTTATAGTGGCTAATTGATCAAATGGGCAATTCAGAAGTTTATAACCTTAAAAGACGAAGCTATAGAGAGATACAAAAATAAAACTTGAGATGTGCTCGGTTCCCTGTGAAAGTCTAGATGTGCATTCCAACATTTAAAGCATAATTAGATTTAAAATGTGATTGTGCAGGTGTAGCCATTTCACTTGAAATATGAAAACAGACTCAGACAACGGGGAAAAAAGTGATTGAAAACAAATTGCCAAAACGATAGTCTTCTGATAGATCAGAAGTCTATCCTTTTCCAGAGTGAGTTTTTGTTGGGTTATTGTTTGTTGGGTTTTTTAAAGTATATCATCCAACCTTTATTATGAGGAAAGAACTTAAATATCTAAATGAAATATTTATTTAAGTTTGCTCACTTAAATTTATTTACATACAATGAGTTTCAGAAGACTGTTAACCAAAATAAATCTCAGTTGGGTAAAGACCTTGAACTAGAGAGAGGCTGATAAGGGGAGACACTATTTAAAAAGTAACAGAATTTAACAGCTTTGTGGTACACAAACAAAAAGGGGTATTAAGATACAGAACTGGATTTCTCTGAAAATTATTTGTGTTCAAAATTATTTTAACAATTTACAAGGAAAATGTTATTTCCTTATAGTCTTTAAAAACATATTAATACAATATAAACAATTAAGGCTTTTAAAATGCAAAACATTCAGTAGTTGAACTTGTAGATGCCATTACAGTGTTGGATAATGGTGTAACATGATGAAAAGTATTTCATTCACATACATTGGTACAAATATTACTGCATGACTAGATTTAATTGTGTCATGCACCTCTAAAATACAAGTTAAAAAAATTTAACTTCTCCCCTTTCTTGGTAAATCCAGAGTCACTTGCATCACCTTTATTTTCCTTTTCAGACTAGATTCAGAGATCAGGTAAGCATGGGGTGATAGACTCACAGCTAAACTGCTGATTTAACACAGGAATTGTACAATTCTGGTGGCATGTTGAAAACATTACTAATCTGGAAGTATTTTGGAACTTTCCTAAAATACATCAGGGTTTTGTGTGTGGGGCTTTTCTAAAAAACATTTCATTGTAAAAAGACCCAGTCAAGGCAGTTAAGACACCAAATATTTAACTCAGCACTGGAGAACTTGGGGCAACTTCTGTAGGATGCATTTTTAGTCATTTCTTCACTAAGTTTACATGTATGTGTAAAAGGTGATTATCACAAGTTGTACAAATAAGGGATATGCAACTGGTGACTAGATAAAAGAATAACTGAAAATTATTTTTAAAAAACTTTGATAAGAACTTATTTTGCTGAAAGCTGTAATATAAATCAAAACTGTGTCATTTAACATTAAAACTCTATTAGGTTATTGTGGGGAAACTGCTGACAGTATTTCTCACTCCCTTACAAAGAAATTGCTGTAAGGAATTAACATAATACTGAGCAAGGTGTAACAGATTCAGAATAGATTTCTGTGGCACAGGACAAATACTTGATACTTGTATAGTTCAAAGAATGCTATCAAAGCTGTGAGGCTCAACCTGTAAACAGTGACTACACACTGCAAAAACACAGGGAAAAAACATTCACAGGTGCTATGACCTGTTCAGTACAATCTGACTGCATTAATTGGGAGTGGTTTTGCACGTACAAAGTGTATCCAAACCAGAACCCTGCTTATTTCATCAAGGTCTGGACTGTAACCCCCTGACCAGCCACACTTTTCAGCATAATGTAACAGCACTAGTGGTTGATTTCAAGAGTTACCCAAATACAGGTGAAAAAACCCTTGCTGCAATAGGTTTGTCTCTTGAAATCATTGGACCTGTGGTCACTTTTTTAAGGGGTTCTCTAAAGTTATTTTTGCTTGCCAGTCCCTAAAAGCATGTAGGAAATCCAGAAATACAAGCATACTGCTGTAACCCATGTATACAGAATGCAGATATTTAATAATTCCAGCTATTCATGATAAAAAATGCAAAAGCTGGATTACAAATAGTTTGAAGTCCACAACTGGGTTCCTTGGTTCATTTTATCTATCTGCAGTGTCTTGAAGACATCACCTACTACTATGTTCTTCCAAGCAAAAGAAAGATTTATTTCCACAGCAACACTTTTTTTTTCTGTAGGTACTGGAATCAGTGGTAATATCTACCCATGCAATTGGCCAAAATCCCCATACTGTCACCTCACAGAGAATCTGGTTTCAAACTTTAAATGCGAAAGGCTTCACTAAAACTCAATTGTAAACAAAACAGTAACTAAGATAAACCAGTTTCTGGCTCTGGTTAATCTGCAATAACAAAAGCCCTAAAAGTAACAGACCTATTGATGGCCTGATAGCAAAATACTAGAGAAAAAATTATCTGTTTTCCTAGATATTTTGGAGTTCCCCAAAACAAGAGATGAGCAAACACAAGGGTCTTCCCATTACTCGGCTGATTTAAATTTCTGAAGTGATTTAAGACACACTGGTGTTTCTTCTATTTGCAATTTTGACCCTTCCCTTGGCAGGTGCCAGTAAGCCAGAACAAAAGCCATCAAAAGGTTTCTGATAAAAATACAAGTTATCCCAGCTTTTTTGGAAACACATTCAGAAGAAATCTAAAGTGAAATTTTCCAAACTGCTTAGCATAAACGTAACTTTTCATAGTTACAGCTGAAATTTTAACTTAAAAAGCCCATCCAAATTTTCCTAAAGACTTCATAACAAGGAAAGAGAACATGAACTTCAAGACAGACCAAGTATCCCATTATTTCATCCAGCTCTGTGGTGGAGAACCTCAGTTTGTCTCAGCTAAAGGCTTTGGCTCAGGAGACACTATTAGACCAATCTCCCTCTGTTCCACAATAGGGATCACTTATATATATCACCACTTTAGATGGGACCTAAAATGAAATGGGGTCAGCACTAAAGGAAGTTCAAGAGTAATAAAAAAAAAAAAAAGAAACTTAGCTGAGTTTGTGTCTCTGTCCACCCCCAAAATCTCTGTACATTTGGCTGAGTGTCTGACTTTATCAAACAACCCCATCTAGTTCACTTTTGGCCCCAGCAACATCGACCCAGCCCCAGCACCTGCTGCCCTGAGTGCACAACTTGGCCGGGAGGGCATGGGCAGTGCCTCAGCTCTGTCTGCACTGATCAGAGCAGCAGCTGCCTTGGATTTCAGCACTGTTACACTATTTGTAAGCACTGTTCAGACTGAGCTAGCAAACTTGTCAGCTACTTTGAGTGCTGAAAATCCCCTAAGATTTCCCAAAAATAGCATTACTATGTTGCACAGTTTTTTATGCTGTATGGCATACATGGCAAACATGGGATCTTGACATTCTAACGATAATTAACTGAGTATTTAAAGGTTTTAACCTTGAAAAACAAGGAATTGCCCATTTCAGCACATAGAGCTTTCCCATGAACAGAAGTCATTCTACAAACCAGAAAAGGAATGGAGAAGGCAGATTTCAACAAGTTCTCTAGAGAGAACTCTCCAGCAAAGAGAGTGCAGAGTGATAGGAGCTGACATTGACAAAAACTGAACAGTAGGCAACTGACATTTAATATTTGGGGCTATCAGAGGATCAGCACAGCTAGTCCTGACTTTAAAGCACAGTGAGAGTGAGAAGCAGTGTGTCCAGGGACAGACACTGCCAGCCTGCCAGGAAATGAACCTGCTGGGCATTACCTAGGTGAGAAAATGCAGCCACTGCACGCTGTGCCACAGCTATTTGTGTCCAAAATAACAGCAAAATTACAGACAAAGCCTTAAACAATCTCAAGAGGTAGCATAGGGACTTATGTTCCGGCCTCTCCTCCTTAGCATTCCCCTGTGGCACTTCTTCCCCATCAGAGCAGATCACAGCTGAGCTTACATCCATTCTTTTCTGCTGGCCAAGCTATGAAAGAGAGGGAGCTCTGCAGGAGCACTGTGAACATCAGACTGCCTCTGTGTATATGATGTGGTTTGAGAAGCTGGCACTCACCTCTTCCCATTTCCCACTCAGCACTAAGTTTCTGGCTAGTTATGCTTATTAAAAAAGGATGTGCACTCATCCCTTTCAAGATGAAATGCCATTTTCAGGCCTTGCACGTGACATTTGCTGTAATATGCTAGACTGAATGAACATTTCTTAACGTTGGATTTTTCTTGCTACCAAGGTGTTCTTCATCAGCAGAGATAGGAAAAAATGGGAGCATTCTAATGCATCCAAACTACAGCTTGTTGTTTTTGCTTTTCTGTAATATGCTTTCTAATGAGGATTTCACAACATTTAACATGCATTCCCTGAGTCACCTGTTTAATGCTGCAACTTTTAAAAATCTGCTTTTATATAAAATGAGCTCTTAATTTAGTATGTTGTATTGAAGGATGTAGTTTGTATAGATTCTCTAATAAGCATCCTAATGCAAAGAGATGATCCAAGGAATGACTTTGTTACAGAAGCAGTGGAGCAGGAACAAAGGATGGTTCAGTTAAAAATGTATCAGCTGTACCTTTCACTTGAGTATTTCCTGCTGAATGCACAAGAAAATTCCATTTCAAGAACTCCAAAACTGCCTTTTATTACATACTGGAAAATTTTTTTCAAGAGCTTGTGTATACAAGTTTGAAGAAACATGACAATAATGTGAAATATCAAGTGAGAAAGAGCCTGCCTGGCAATCCGAGGTTCTCAGCAGAGCCTGTGCTTCCCTTGGAGCTCATGTGCCTGTGAGCCACAAGAGCAGCTCTGCAGAGACACTGAACACATCACTTCTTACATGGACAGCTACAAAATGTAGTTTTTGGATGGTGTTTAAGTGAATTTTCAGGAATGCTAATTTCATTCTCTGGTGTTACAACCCTCCTTTGGATCTGCTTTGTCGGGTTGCAGATTCCATGAGTGGCACAAGAAAACTGGTGGATTTGAGCATTTACAAAGTGCCTTATAGAAAAAACATTTATCTCTACGGCAGTGCTGAGTTTTTTTGCTAATCTTAAGAATACTTTTATGTAGCCTTTTTTATGTCACAACTATAATGCAAAAACAAAAATTCTGTGATTTTTTTTCTTCTGTGCTAGCATTTATCTAGTGGAAAACAAGTTCTACTCTACTTTTCTGGACACTTTCATATATATTATGGAGCATGTGCATGCTAAATTGTATAAATAGATTTAAAGTATAAATCTATACCATATTACTTATGTTTTGCCAGAACATAAGCTGGAGGAAAAAGAAAAAAAAGGCAAATGAAGTAAACAGAAGTAGATATTGTCTTCCTGGTTCTCCAAGACTATTGTGCAATATTGTTTTCCAAGCTCACTTCATATAGATAAAAGCAATTCTGTTCATGTTTTTCATCCTCAGATACTATGAGAGATACCAACTGTGACAGGTGCTTTTGGAATGGTTACTCCCAGTAGGGCATAAATTAAGCTCCCAGGTGAATTTCATTTTGGGTATTAGGAAGCTCAACTGCTTAAAACTTTTGCCACTAACAAGTTCAACTCATGCAGCCCTAGATTTCAGGAATTCTTTACCTTTTTTCCAAAGCTTCAAGACCTGTAAAGAAAAAAGGATATTAACAGAGGACTGTTTTCATAGCATGGCTTCCATCTCAAACACCCTGAAACCCTTCACTCCTCTACTGAAAGAAACTGCATTATCTTGTTGGAACTTCATGATGAGCACTGCATTTAACTTCTTCCTCTGTGACTAAATGACCATAATTCCTCTAACTACAGTGTATTAAGTTTCAGGCACATCTGTCTGAAACTGGAAATGTTACATGAATTCCTCTAATATGAGCAAGTATCTTAGGCAAAGAGATAAACTCCACAGCCACAACAGCTGGATTCCTTCCAAAAGGAGTTAGTGGCAATACTGTCACTGAAAACAATAACAAACACTTAGCTTGACATATTTATTTTTCAAGGTCAATAAATAAATGTAAATACACAAATTTGGAAAAATCTTAGTAACAGAATGTTTTTAAACAACATTCTGGCTTAAAGTCTCTGTTATTGACACTATTGGAAATCTACTTAAAGTAGCTAAGTCGTTATGTTGGTGATCCTCCATCACATTAATTTGTTTGAAGAAGTTAGGCTGCTGCAAAGGAAAAAAGGACATCAACCTTTGCTTTGACATAGAAAATTATCTGAACTGCATACATTAAGTATTAAAATTACTTCTCTGGGCATGATTTTTCTAGAGAAGATATTTTTTAAATTTACAGTTTACATATTAGAGACCTCCTACTGTTCATTACTTCATCATTATAAAAGGGAAATTGTAACGAAAGTGGAAAAAAAACCAAAAGGAGAAAAGTAATGGAAGAAAAATGGTCCAAATTGGCCCTTTAGTTAGTAAGACATTCTTCCTTTATCTCATTTTCATTCTAGGTTGGTAACAGATGTGTGTAATGACTGGTTGCCATCAGTGCAGCAAATCTGCTTGAAATAAACTTGTGTCAGACACCCACTTGTACAGACATTCTCCAAACACCTGGAAGCAGGAATGTCATATTCCACCTTAGCCTGCCCAAGTTATTCTGTGTGAACACTAAGGCTTAGAGCACGGATACAGAACTTGTCCAGGAGAAGCAGCCTTTTTCAAAGGTATCTACAAATCGCTAAATAGAAATTTTTATCAAAAGCAAGAAGGTAATTGTTATTGATTTAATGGAAGTGGAGGAAGATTTGTGGTTCCCTCAAAATTCATCAAGTGTTCTATTTCTGCATTCTATAAATACTACAAGATGCAACATGTTTATTTGGTTCCCATAAATTAGAAAAATCTGGTTTCCAAAAATTCTAAATTAGTGATTTAAAAAATAAAATATTACACCTGACCACCTCTCAAACCATCTCAGAGATGGCTTCACTCCTCTGTCACCCCTTCAGAAGTGTGCTTTTTTAAGAATACATGATTTATAAAACAAACAAAAAAAATGTGTTTTTAACTACAGTACACTTGCTTAAATATACAAGTGGACACGTTAACGTCATGTTGAAGTTCAAGGTACTTCTGGATAAAAGGCAGATATTAGTTACTTTAACTCTGCATTCTTATATAGAATAATGATTATTATAGACTTTAGCTTCCTCTCATCATTCATCTATCATATGGAGAGGTCAATAAATAAAAGCTTATCTGGTCCAGTTTACCTACAAGAGAAAAAAAATAGTAAAAGAAAAAGAAGTTACCTATAAAATTACTTGTTTAACCCTGATAACATCTGAGTTGCCATACCCAGTTTGTAGTTGCAAGAAAAGCAAACAGTATTCATTTTGCTTTTTAATAAATGCCCCATTGTTTTCATGACAATTTTTGTATGCTGCCTATCAAGTCACATATTCTTGGGGCAAGAAAGCTGGCCAGGAGATGCAGTGGTAGCAGTAAGTATAAATCTGGGTTCAAAAAAAGAACATACCAGATCCAGAAGCAAAGAAATCTGGACACACTGAGGAGGCAGTGCCCAGCTGTTATTTGGGCTCTTGTGTCATGGAGACTATACCCAGCCTAAGATATAGTTTCATACTATGGAAGTAACACAGAATTCTGTTGTGCTCGTGTACAGACTTCAGGAAAAAGCCTTACACAAAATGAATTACCTTTGTTTAGAGTAGAAGATAAAATAGCTTACTAACTGATGTAACGAGTAATGGATGTCACTATGACACAGGACTTGCCATGAGTTGTGTGTTCAGCTACAAGGTGCAGTATTTCTTATGACTAACTCAAAGCACAGCCGCTTCCAACTGTGATTTGGAATTCCCTCTTGAGCAGCACGCACTATGACTTTGAAGGAAGTCTGTCTGATTGTTACAAAGTCATCCATCCTCTCTTGGAACATGAACAAAATCCATGGGGTAATCAGGCACAGGCGGCATGTAACAGGTTTGTCTTCCTTTTTACTCCTTGTTTTTGCTTCTGAGGACATGCACTTGACTCCAGATGGAATCCATGTTCTGTTACAAAAGAACACAGCTGTTCTTCTCTTTCTCCCTCTCCTTCTCTCGAGGCTCTTTGCGTTTGCGTTCGTTACTCCCGGATTGTCTCGCGCTGGCTGGAGAGGCAGCACCTTGTACCTGCTGTGTAGGGAAAAACAATGTGGGAAATGAACCTAGCACCATTGCAGATACAGCCTGAACCATTACTGTGTGGTGAAGTTCACAAACAAAAGTTTAGGTACTATGCTAACCAGCAGAATTCAGGTAGGGGTTTTTGGTATACCTACTCCAGAACCTCCACAAAATTGCATATTTCTTGAAAATTAAGTCAACTGAAAATATATTTCAAGTTTCATGTGTCCCTTCTGTTGTGTCCACATATTCAGATAAGTAGTTTCAATAAAATATGGTTTCAAGCATTTTCTGGCATTTCTGTGTTATTGGACTGGAATTTTTTCTTAGTTTCTCTTGTAAGTATACAATCCACATTTTGCTATTTGCAGTCAAAGTGCTGGTGTGGACAGATAATGGCAAGGCAGCAGCTTTTTGTGACTAGAAACGCTTTAATAACTTGGCAAGGGGGTTGGTATACAAAGGCAACATAAGTTTTGTTAATTCATCATCTATTCCCTCTGTTACCCATTCATAGCCTGCAAATGAGCAGGCTCCTAATCCTGCTTAGCAAGTTCTTCAGTTCTTTCTACCTTTGGCAGCCAGCAGTAATGAATCTGTGTCTTAGACAGGTACTGCTGGTTCTATTAAAGCAACAAGCAGTGCAAATAACACAACTTTTACCTGTAAAAATTCTTGTTTCATGCTTAGCAAACTTAACAGTTAATGGTTCTGAATTACTTCAGGCCAAAGATGCAGGCTTTATATAGATTATTTCTTACATATTTGTAAATAAAGACAGTTCTGAAAGTCCTCAGTAGTTAAAGAACTCTCTAAATCCAAAAAAACAATATTATCTCTGGCACAGAAGATTCAGTTAAATTGCATTTTTGCATAGACATGTGCATGAATCACATTTTCAGAAGATTTTGAAATCAGCTGCTTATGGGTATGGGATGGAAAGGTGTACTGGAAGAAACTGAATTACCCAATTTGGAACAACAGAATAGATTCACATGAGATCACAGTCTGAAACACCTAAAAATGTACAGCAGCAAACTTCTGCAAAACAAAATAAACACAAAGCTTCAACTACTATCAGAAGTTTAGTTGAATGCTCTTCTGCAAGTAATATAAAATACTAGCTAATACCATCTTTGTAACCTGACATATTAATTCATACCATCATTCCAAATTTAAGCAGTATAAATGAAACCCTAATTTAGAAGGTTAAGCCTGCTTTAAAGTATTTAAATGTTTGCAGTTGCCAGATCTACATGCATACTCCAACAATTGCAGCATATTCCTAAAGAATTCTATGTTCACCTCCAGCTGAAATATGTACAAGCACAGATGTGTGTCTATGCAATTATTAATATTTTCTAAAATTGATGATCATATTCTGTAATGTTTTCTTACCTGGACCTGAGCAGCTGCTTGTTCTTGTTCCTGATAGTACTGAGAAGCTCTCCTGTCCTCCTCTTCCTGGAGCTTCTTTGCTAGCTCTAGATCACTGATTCCTTCTGGGATCTGTTCCCAGTTAATCTCTTGATTCTGCTGCTCTTGTTGTAGAGATAGTGCCATCAGATAATCCTGAACAGTAAACGTTTTAATTAATGCTCTTTAACAGAGAAAAAAATTTGTATCAAGTGAATTTTGCAGCATGTCCTGCTACACAGTACCATCACTTTTCTCCCAGCCTTATCTTCAAAGGCAGATCAGGAATTTGTTTGAGAACTTGTCCATAACCTCAGCTGCAGAAAGGCTGAGAACAGCTACTTTACATGTCTGCTTTCACAATGCCTAAGCTGCAGCACAGAAAACACAAAAACTAATTAAAAAGTTTTGCTTTCAGGTTTAAATTCTATTAACTAGACAGCAGCGAATTATCTGTCAGATTTTGATTCCAAGAGAGAAATGCTGTGCTTCAATTTATTAAGAAGCATCTTATTAATTTTCCCCCAGTATTTAAAAGACATTAATGGTGATCATATAAACTTGTTCAGAGTGTAAGATTTTGAAGGACATTCATTTTGCTCTGCACTTGTGCATTAACTGGTACAACTCAGCCCCACCTCAGACATGACTTGTGTAAACTGTGTCTCAGTAAGAATAACAAACATCACCATGAGACACAATCTGCTGTGGGGTTTCTCCTACATTCAGAAGGCAAAGTCCAGCTATGACAATCTTAATGAGCTGAAGGAAGTTTGTTATGTAGGAAGAAATTCCACAGTGCTGCTGTTTACATATACAAAGCAGAGGTGACATTTCACCTGAGTGAGGACTTTGCAGAGATTGAAATCCCATTTTCCAAATTCCTCCGTTGGTCTTACTTTTCCTCCCTCAAACCCATCTTAATACTTTCAAGTGGCACTTTTGGGAACCCAAATCTAATTACCTAAAGGAGTTTTACAGTCCCACATATGTGTGAGTATACACACATACACATCTATGGAATTACACTAAAAATCAGTACTAACTTCAAATGGAAAGGCAGAAATCCAGTACCTGATCTATTTGGTCCTGCTGCCCTCTGTAGACAGTTTCAGGGTCTGATGGAGGCCGCAGATGGAATTCAGAGTCACAGAAATTCCCGTCACCATCCACATTGTGTAAACTTTCCCACACAACCTTCTCTTCTGTAAGAAAGCCCTGGTCTGTCACCAGCAGGTAAAGCTGACCCTATACAGAAGAAATAGAAAAACTTGTAAAACTTAAAATAAAAAAATACTTTTTACAATCTAAGTAGTAGAAATTATAAAAATATTGCACTTCAATAAAACATTCATTTAGAGTTTTTAGCAAGTTTAATAATTAAATAAATCAGCAAACAGCATTAAACCACCAGACATTAGTATTCACTACTAAATTAACAGCCACACAATTTCTTCATTGCATCTTGCAATTCTTCATTCTTAATGAAAGTTCAAATTGACTAGAAATTGATATAAAACATTAATATAGATATATATGAATAAATATATTAATATATGTAAAGCCTTGACAGCTCTTTAGAAACACACCTAAGAAATAGACTTAAAAACTGGCAACAAAAACTTTAAATCCCAGGAGTAATCACATTAAATTCCAAAGGCATGATATGGAGACAAAGGTGATCTTTCCAAACAATCCAAGAGGCATTACCTCAAGATGGCCACATCTCAGACTTCATGTTTCATAATGAGTTTTGATAAAATTTGAGGTCTGTGTCAATTGAAAGTTCTAAATTTAAGATTCTTGCTATCACTTGTCACTAATAACTGCTTTTGTTGGCATTTTAGTAATTTTACATTTCCCTAAGGCCAAATTTCTTGGTTTCAAAGTCTGAAATTATAAAATGGGCTGGTCTGAAGGGACAATGCTAACAAGTGCAGGTACCAAGGCACTGGAAGGATGAAATGTAAGCTTAGACTGAAGGAGTGGGAGAAGAGCTGAAATCAAAGGGAATAACTGAAGGAGGCCCCAAGTAAAAGGAGATGGTGCTGCATATCTGAGGGACAGCAAAGCAGCACAAAATACCCGTTTAAATTTCCATTTAAATCAATCCATTTATTTAATCCTACCTTTTTTATCATGATTTTAGGATTATACTCCAAATCAAGAAGGTTGTTACTGACCATACAGCACATTAAGACTGAAACTTCCATTAGTATTACTGAATGTACCAGATCAAGACACTCAATACAAAACTTATAGCATTGGTTTAGCTGTAAAAATCAAGGCAGTTTATTGTGACATCCACAAAAATTTGGTATTTGTATTCCAGCAACACACAAAGGGTTCTCAGAGATCACTGTTCTAAAGTTGTACCAAAGCAAGATGCAGATCCTGTTCTAGTGATTTCTAAAGCTAAACAGGCAAGAAATGGAAACTCTGTCCATACACAACACATAGAGAATGAGCTCCCTGACTTCTCTGATGTCATTAAATAACTCTCTAAGGAGATGCTGAAATTCCAATCACATCTCGTCAATCCCACTCTGTTTACAGCCCCTCCTGGGGCTGGGAGGTCACTTGATGTAACAAAAATATTATTTGAAGACTCGCAGCAATCATTCCAATATTACCTAATACCATAACATGCACTTATACACAAGGCCAAATAGAGTGGATAAAAAAACCAAACCAAAACCAAACAGGTAACACCACTGTATGTTCAAGCTTGGGAACAGGAATTAACCAGCACAGCAGGGCTTTACAGACATACGTACAAGTGTCAGCAACAAGTCTGATCACATAGCATGATCTAAAAAAATCACCTGTCCCTTGGAAACCTGCCTGAGAACTGAATTATACTTCTGACACCTAAAATTGCCTGAAGAAAATAAAAGGAAGTAATTTCACAATGTTTCCAGTTTGCACAGAATACCTATTTCATATTTTGTACATAAGAATCAATCTTTGAAAAGACTTAAAATCCTAGAATTTTTAAGATAAAATGTATTTGAACTTTTAAGTTTTATTCTGAACAGTACATTGACCCAAACAAAACTTAAAAAATGGGATTGTGATTGTGTGTGTGTGTTTGTGTGTCTCAGGTTTTCCTCTATTATGGCATACATTTTTAATTACAGACCATCAACTGTGATTATAGAAATATTAGTTTTCCTATCTCCAAACTATTGTAAGCTTAATTTTTCCATATACAAATATTAAGGTATATCATTGCCTTCACAGAATTAGAATCTAGTATCTAAGGATGGATTAAAGCTAACACTTCTTTGACATAGAGACCTGTTTCAAATCTTACATACAATTCATATTATTACTTTGTAAGAATTTCTCAGTTGAACACTGATGGTAAAAATGTCACGTTAGAGTAAATAATCAAAAATAAATGTAACACAGCTCCCTATGAAAGGCAATAAACTGCATTGCATATCACCATATTACCTGAACACCACCACTGCAATTCCAATACCAACTGCGTACCTTAAAACATTCTGTTTCACTTGAACAAAGCTTAGCAAACCAACAAACACAGGCTCCCTAGTGCCTGATAAGAGACAGAGTTCCTGTTCACATTATTGGAATGAAAGAAAAATGGGAAATCACAGATCAGAGATCCAAAGTCATCTTTCCCTTATTTTTAACCAACTTCTCTGATCTCTACATCCTATTAATAAATTAAAATGAATCCCACAAAAAACCCCAACCAGGACCCTCACAATATTGCTAATATTCAAGGAGCCTTTGGCAATAATTTCATACATTAAGTAAGAGAAGTTGGCTCTTTTGCTAGGAGCTGTAATGTAGCCTCTCATCAGCGGTTTGTTCCTTCTCCTTGCAACAAGAAAATTGAGACTATTTCTTTCTACAGACTGGCTTTGTAGGCACAATTTTAATGCCAAGCACGTTCTCTTCCCAATGCCGAAGGCACAGGCCACACTCAGTGGCACAGCCAGACTCCAGCAAGGAGAGCTTGTGATCCCAGAAAAGCCTTTTAGCCTTTCATCCTCTGACCTTCGCGCTGCCTCTGAGCCGGGGCTGCACCGAGCCGTGCCTGGGGCCAGGAAGAGCAGCCGCCCTTCCCAGGCACTTCCCACAGCCCGGGGCTGGCTCTGAGGGACACGGACACAGCCCTGAGGGACGGGGGGACACAGCCCTGAGGGACGGGGGGACACAGCCCCGGGGGACACGGACACAGCCCTGAGGGACTGGGGGACACGGACACAGCCCTGAGGGACACGGGGGAGGGAACACGGACACAGCCCTGAGGGACACGGACACAGCCCCGGAGGCCGGGGGGACACAGCCCCGGGGGACACGGACACAGCCCCGGCCTGTGCCGCCGGTCCCCGGGCACAGCTCCCCAGGCCGAGCAGCACACCGAGCTCGGGCAACTCCGGTAACCAATGCACACAAAATTGGCTTTCGAATGCCCCCCGCACCGAGAACGGTACCAACGCTTTACAAACTGTTTCTACCTTCAGAAACACCCTAACTGGCCATTTCTAGAGTATTACGGGATTATCTTTTAGATTTTTTTAATGTGGGTTTTTTAAAACAAATATCCAGTCTCATGGGTTAACGCTGCCCCCCAAAATACCACCACATAAGAGACAGCAAATATATCTACTGCTAGCTATAGTCTATGGGGACTAAGACAATAAAAGAAAGTCTTAAGTGCATAGCTATTGTAGACACAGTTTAACAAAGTTATGACTAATTATTTATCCTAAGAATCAATACTTAGATACTGTAGACCAATGCCCAGATTTTATAGTTTCACATATAAAAACTTTGAAATAAAGCTGAGGATAAAGCAAGATTATTCTCCCAAACAGGGATCTCTCAGTCTTCTGGTTTGCACAAAAAGACCCCTCTTAAATGCACAGATATAGGCTACAGTACTAGACCTCTTTTCCCTGGGTAATTTCATAATCAGATTAAATAATTAAGATTAATGTTTTTAAACTAGTTGTTCTAATACCAATTACCAAGTTTCCAGCAAAAAGAAAACATAATAGTTTCATACATTTTAAGCTTTATGTTTTGAATAGTATGTAAATATTCTCTTGGACTTCTGGATCAGATCCCTTCATTTTTGTGAAGGTGTTTTAAGTTGATGAATGAGTGTTGTTTTAATTTTCTCTAACAGTTGAAACATTTAAATACTCTAATATTAAAAAGATCTGTTAAAGGAAGTATATACTACTGGATTCAGAGTACCCTCAGCATAAGAACTGTACACTTAACTAAGAAATTAAAAAATAAACATGTTTTTAAGCAGTTATATTCATTGCCTCTACTATGCCAATCTTAAATGCCCAGGAAAAAGTGCAATTATTGTTATGAAATACACTTTGTATTGGAATAAAAGTATCTGCTGAGTTGTGAAGCAGAAACACAACATTTATAAACTAGAAAACACACATACTTAAAAATCCAAACAGGTAAGTGTCTTGATACTTTTCAGTAAAGAACACAGGTTCTATTACAAACAGTCTGTGGGAAAAAACGTTCCAACTGAACTAAGGTCTTACCAAACTGATCCCCTCTTTCCTGTTTTTCCTTGATCTAGGGAATTATCATTTGATGTATTTATTATCTGCATAATGAAAAGCAAAGGCAAAAAAATAAAATCACATTTTTAACTGCTGAAAATTATTATGGTATAATCAAGTGAGCCAAGACTAGTAGTATGCAATTAAAGGGACAGGAAGTAGAAAAAATGATTACTTGGGCAAATGGACAAGGTATGGAAAGCCAAGTCCTTTCACTAAAATATCAGCCTTGAAAAACCCACACTGCACTTAAAAAATATCCCCAGTGTACAAATCTCCTTGTATCAGCTGTACATTGAAGCTGAAAAAAAAAAAGTTGAATAATTATCTTAATTAGAATAATAATTACTAATTACTCAAGCTGTCTCTGAAAACACACCAAATTTATTACATGGACATTACTTATTAAATGTGTAACTCCCTTTTGATTAACTTTATAGCTGCTTTATTTATATGTTTCCATGTATTGGTTTGGAGGGGAAAGAGGGAAAGGCACTATTAGAGAAAGACAAAAAATAAATGCATTATGCTTGCCATAGAAGTTCTACACCTCCATTTTCCCTGGCATATGTGATGTCTCCAGTTTTCCCAATGGATGGACTTTTCCCCATCGTCCAGCTACTGCTGACTACTGCTCAAAGTGTGAAGAAACTCCATCCCCAGAGTGAGCATTAAACCCAGGAGATGGAAACAGTGAAGCAGTTGGAAAAAACCTCAACTCTGTAGTAACAATGCATTTGGCACTCACATAAGTATCCTGGAGGTCCAAAAATTTCTGGATAGCTGATCTTGGCAAACAGCCCAAGTCTATTTCTGACTTGATACAGAAGACCCCCTAGATGTATAGCTACTGCAAAGAGCTGGGTAGGTTAGAAGCAAGCAAGAGTTATTGCTGGCCTTTAAATATCAATTTTAAAATTATTTTCTGTCTTTATTAAAAAGTTTTTTGATATCGCAAGTTCTGTCATGTACCACACAGCAAAAATCCAAATCAAAATGAACACTGTTCACAAGCAATAACCTCAGGAACTAAAGCATGTAAATAACATGGAAATTAAACACTAACTAGAAGTGAGGTCCCCATGACTGTGAAAAACAAGAACAACGGCCTCTATTTCAAAACTTAGCATTTCAGAATTCTAAGAATTCTCAAAAAGCACAAGATTAAAACCACTGTGACTTAGCAGCCGCAAACCTTAAATATACAAATTCTTTTTCAAATATTTTAACTTTGTATTTCTTAGGACTTGTATTTAGTTCTTACAGGTAAAACTCAAGACACAGATTTTTACTCACTGCCTTAACCTCTTCTGTATTATTAATATTGGATAAAGATATTTAACTCATTGAAGTGTTGCTTTTTATTTCTACAAGGAAAAAGGATCTCAGTTCAGAAGTACACATTTACAAGAATGAAGCTGATAAAGCACAGACAAACACACACCAGATTCTGGTCTTTAATGTAAATACTGGGCTGCAGAAGACTACAAAGAGCCAGCATTTTACAAAACTGATCTGTATTCATAATCTCCAGGTCAAAGGGATGCTCATTGACTTTGTTTAATACAAACAGTATTTTAGATTTTAGAGGCTTTAATAATAGGACAAAAATGCATTATTTCCAGGAGGATTTATGTATTTTATCTGGAATAACCTTTAAATAAAGTAAAAGGGGTACCCTGCACCTCTAGAAACCATCTTTACCCAGAAAGTACTGCTGTACTTTTACTATTTTCTTTTCTAATACCAAACTATGTTGAGGTTGGGGTTTATTCTTCCCTCCCCACTCCATAATGAAAGTGTCTAGGCTTGCTTCCCAAGTTACCCCCATCTAATCTAAGAAATAAATTCAGAAAAGCAGAGAGGGGAAAAACTATACTCAAAATTGTGATTTAAATGAGCTGCATCAGGAAGGGTAATATTTGACCACACAGAGATATATTTCATAGCTTTTAGTTATTTAAATGGAAGAAGGAAGGAGAAAGATCCTTTTACTTGCCCTACTGCTTTAAGAGAGTGCTACTGTACACACAGATTTAAAACAGATCTCAGATGTACTCCAGTCAGAAAACCAAATGTGTTACCTGCTTGTAGAGTTAATCATTATTTATCAGGACTGTTCAGACCTTTAACTCAGCTTATGAGTAGTTACTCAAAATGCCAAAGATTAGCAGTAGTGACAAATGGAAGTGTCATTCACATGAGGTATAAGACATTATCACATAATGGCAAAACCAGTGGTTTCTTAACATTTTTGCATGTTACACACCTCTTCTTTTTTTGCTTTTATTTCCATATAAAAATACATGTATATATATATATGTATAAGTACAAGTGTACATGAAATTAAAGTCTTATTAAATAATAAGTACAAGTGTACATGAAATTAAAGTCTTATTAAATAACAGATAACCAAAACTTAATTTTAAGAGTTCTATACAAAGATAAAAACTCATACACTACCATCCTAGCAAAAGTAAAGTTGTTTTAGCATGAAGATGCTCCATAAATGAATGTAAACTTGCCAAGCCAGATTCTCCGCTCCACAGAGGAAGGAGTCCCAGAAGCACTAGCCAAGCTGACACTTGATTTTTGTATCCTGAAATATTCCTTTCACAATTGCCACCATTTTGCTTCCCCAGACACAGACAGAAATAACTTAAAAAAATTCTCTCCCTAACAAAGAAAACCAACATTGTAGTTCATCTCAGCTTCTCCAAATGTTTGGCATTTTGCACATGGACCTATTCACTGACTGGCCCAAATGTAACGCAAACTTTTAGATGCTCAGAAGCAAGAAATTAATTAAATGAACCTTATCATGCCAACCACAAACTGCAAGAAAATTTAAACCATGTATATACATAATCACAAAGAGTTAACACAGAGAATAAACTGAACGTAAAAGGAAAGACGATGAGAAGATTCAAAGTAGTAATGGATCCCAGTGTCTAAATCACTGTAATCAATTAATTCCTAAGTAACACTCACTACAGACTTTACATTCACTGTAAGCCATATTTACATATAACAACCTGGAATTTAATTTTATTTCAAGACAGTGAAAAACCATAGCTTTGAAACGAGCACACAAAACACAACAATAAAGACAAAAATGTTGGATGTACCTTGTATTTGGTCATGGTGCTAAAATGGTTGTTCCTGAAGAACACACAAAGTTCTCCCTCCTGGACAGCTGAAGTCAACTCACAGAGTCCATGGTATGTCAACTGTGTAGCTGTGTTATTTAGGAACTGCTCAGCTACAAACCCTACAAAAGCAACACATACTGTTATGTGTGTCTATCACACACTTGCTAATACAAGACCTGGTAACAATAGTAGTATTTTTCCCATCTCCCCACTACATCCCCATATTGCCACAAGCCTTAGGGAATGCATTCAGAGAGGGGAAACAAGTTTCAAAGTTCTAAACCCATAGCATTGTAAACAAACCTTCTCATGTTCAGAAATGCTATACCCACTTCTAATATTATTCATGTTTTTCCTTGTTGTAATGGAATATATTATTCATATTCTAAATATAGGAGATAATACATAGTTAAGTTGAAATCTGAATGCTACCACAATAGGGGAAGTTCTTGCCAGCTTTTGAAAAAGTGTACTGAATAGATCAAGATCAATGAAGTTGAAATGAGAAGCACAGTGCTGTGTGACTGCCCAGGGAAAACAGCTCAGCACACAGAATGCAGCTCTTCCCACTCGTATCTCTACTCAGCATGACCCACATGGAAAATATGTAACTTAGATTTGGCAGGCCACATACCTTGATAAAATACAGAAAAATATTACCTACCTTCACTAACCAGTTCACTGTTTTCTGACTGTTTACAAGAAATTATCTTCTCCACCAGCTGATTGTAACTGCAGTTACCAACTGCTTTTACTATGTCAGCAACCTGCAGCAGAAAGGAACAACATGGAGAATTTACCTCTGAGAAGAACAGAACACGGCTGCAAGCCAGTGTCAACTATTAATAAGACAGTAAGAATTCAAGAAAGAGAGGATGTTATCCTCTTAAAAAAATCTAGGCCATAACATTTTAGTCCAGTGTTACACATTTTGCTATCTCAGATCCTATTTTAAATCCTTCAGTTAACCCTTAGCATCAAAAGCGAAGGCAGATGGAGAGCACTGCAAAATTCAGATCAGCTGGGCCAGGGTAAGAGAACAGCAACTCTCACCAACAAAACACGAAAAGAAAAACTCTCTGGCATTATTATTCCAGCCAAACTCACCAGTTTCCCCTTAAGTAAACAATACCACTTTATTGTTTATTAAGCAATATAATTAAAAATAAATTTCATGTTTGCTAAAGATGCAGTTCTCTCCAACCAGTTCCACCATCCTCATTTCTCAATAGCAGTGACTAATAAATCAGAATTAAAAAAGGAGGGAAGTAACTTTGTATTCTTTCCAAGAGTTCTCTAACAAGTTTTCAAAAATGATGACTGGGACACCATATCTGGGGCAACTTGCTACTTCCCTCAGAAAAACAATTCTCCTTTACAGAGTTATAGAAGGCTTTTAAAGTAGTTTGACTGTGGACCCAGGCTCTGCGAAGTCCCTGCACTAAAAAACACACAGTCTTTATTCATTCCTCAATTTTTCTGACTAGATTTAAAAAAGCCATTACCATATTCATTATTGACTTGTTAAAACAATTCAGAAATATCTCCCCTCCCACCAATAACATTCAGAATAACTTTTTTTTTTTTAATAATTGAAATAGACGAAGTTACCTGAGGGTCCACTAACCATCCATGGTACAAGGGGATATCAAGAAGATCAAACACTATGCATTCAGGAGTGTACTCAAATACTCGGACACCTGTGAACTTCACATTGACATCCAGACCCGTCTGCAACTTATGCAGAATTGCCATTGCATCACTCATATTCTGACAACAGAAAGAAAAAAAAGAACAGATGACCCGATAGAGCTTTGTACACTTGGTGGTTAGTCTTGTTTTCATCATTTAGTACTCATCAACTCAACACTTCAAAATAAATAAAAAAATTAAAAGGGTAAATTGCCTGAACAAATGTTTCAATGCACATTCATGTTACACATTGTGCCAGAATATACATGAAATATAAGAATCTCCCTCCAGTCACCTCTATCTGATGGTTTCTTCTTTTACACCCATGAACTAGTTTTAGGCTGTTCTGACTGCTTTTAGGTATATTTCCCAAAGCCACTAGCCAGATGTTTGCAAGGAAACTGAATTATAAGGGAATCTTCAAAGGACTTTTCTTGAGGTTTCTTCTCCCCTGTTAAGCCTTCCCTTAAAAGTCAGGCTGAATCACTTGTCACTATATAATGAATGAACAATAAGACCTACACAGACCCACTTGCCAACTCTAATTTCAGGTTTCAGTACTAAGAATCAGTCTTAATTGTTCACCACATTTTTTCTTTAATAAAACGACAATTGCTATCTTATTTTGGGCATACCTTTAAATGGCCTGTAGATTCTACTGTAGAAACAAGTCATGAAAGTAGCACTTATTATAGTAGTGATCCCAATGGAATCCTAAGGAGAATTATCAAGTTATGAAGTTCCAATCAGAGAAAGGAAAGATGAGCCAAAGAAAATGTGCTTTGTGAGACAGTTATCTGGAACCATGGAACCAACAGATAACAAAAAAAAAAAAAAAAAAAGAAAAATCCTGACACGCAGGAAAAAGAATTTTCCACTAAGTGAGAAAAGCCCGCGAAGAGTACAGTCAGAAAGTCTGTGTAGAAGATTTGGGGAAACTAAGGCACTTTTTTGTTTGTTGTTTGTTTGTGGGTTTTGGTTTTGTTGCTTAACAGGAATCCAGGCTTACAACAATAAGAAAAAAAGCATGACAAAGACCAGAAACTCAGACTGAACAGGAGATGGAAACAGCAAAGATTCACAGACTAAAACCACTGATGGTTAAAAGACAGTTGCTTCTGTAGTCTTCTGATCAGAATCTGCACTTGAGCACAGCTGCTATAAACAAGAGTTTTAATGCCTGTAACCCTTTAACTGTACTGTCCTGTCAAGTTTCCATGACCAGGAGCGAAACAGTTCCCAGTACCTTATTACATTTTGCTTCATCTTACTGACAACTTTGTTATGTCACAAGGTTTGGAATTGAGCAATATTTTGAAGTAATTCTCAAGACTGACTTCAACTTTTAAGTTTTTATCATTTTAAAAGCAAACCAAAACACCCTAAGAGTGTATGTCATTAGTACAGACCAGATATCAAACATAAAAACCTGAGATGTTTTGAAAGAAATGTTGCCATAATCTTACTCTGCTAAATGAACAAAAAGTCCATAGTAAGTCAGCATTAGCTGTCCACCAATTTAGATCATACATTGACAGACAATTGCTGCATTTATTTTCTAATGTTTACTTTGCAACAAAGCAGGATTGCATCAAATGGACCAGAAAACCACAGAAGTTTCTTACTACAATTTCAACATTATCACTTCTGCTTTAGCTCCTTCCAAACCTTCAAAACAACTTAGAAGACTTCTAGAACAGAAGGCTTCTTTGAAATTACAGTTAAAACTGAAGGTATGTGATATTTATGTAATAAACCCATATATCTGAGCATAAGAAAGCTATAGAAGTTGTACATTCCACAGGTACAGTAGTTTTCATCACCCTCCTGTAAGCTGATTATAGCTATAACCTTCTACAGCACAGAATTGTGTGGAACAAAATAGCCAATTTTGTTATTACAGAAGTAATTCCTATAATATGATACAAATCAATCTCAAGTTATTTGATTTGGTTTTCAACACTGAAAGAGAACAAGAAAAAATGACCTAGGAATAAACAGAACTACCTTGAAACCTTTCACCTATCAAAAAATACAAATCCACTTTTCCATGAGGAACCAAAAAACAGCTATGACTACATTTGGAGCTTGGAAAATATATACTAAATCAGTAATTTTTAAAACCAATAGCATTATCTTTAGTATAGTAAGACTTTTGTGATGACATATAAATAGTGGCCAGTGCAAATAATATTGCCTTTCATGACATAGCATCAACCTCTTTCTGTCCATCACAATTAATAACACAGATCTCAGTTTACATGCTCAGAGAAACTCTGGCAGGCACCACAGAACAGAGCAACTGAAGGACATGTAACAGAAGACTTCAAAAAGCAACTAAATATACTTTTATTAGTACCTTTGTGTTACAGTTCCTCAATAAAACCCATTTTATTTCATTATGCTCGTAACGGGAGAAAAAAACCCCTTATCTTGTGTTAATAGATAAGAGTTTTTCTTCACTAATAGCACATATATAGAATTATTACTCTACATCAAGCCCAGGAAAAAACCAACTAGAAACAATGGTCTGTGTGCTTCTAGTTTTTAACAAGGTGACAAACCCTCGGTGAGAAACGTAATTTTAGTTTCCTCTAAAAAGGAAGGTTGGATTCCTTCCAACTGAGGAAGCAACTGTGTTTTAGGAGCAGCTAAAAAAAGCTCCTACCTGCTCATAATTAAGTCGTTGAATTTCAGATATCTCTTTAGGTTTTGCGTCAAGAATGTAGTCTCCTAAAAGAAAGCAAAAATGAAATTAAATTTATTTCACAATCAAAGCTTCAACATTTCTATGAATATTTCTGACTGAATCTGACTGGTAATAAATACCACAACTGGAGTTTTCTACTAAATTAATGAGATCACACTGCTTTATAACCTGAAAGTTATAGTTATGGAGTAAAATATGAATATAAAAAACTTTTTAAGATCATATTAAGAAATAAAATTCAAATGGCCAACACTGTTACTAAAGCAACATTTCATAATCTCTTGGGGTATCATACCAATCTTTTCATTAATCAAAAACTGACCTCCCTCTGTGCCTCAGCTTTAAAAATATAAAAAGGTCAAACTGTTTACAGTAAGGTATGTTATTCTGTACACAATTTAAAAAGGCAACCTGACTGATACTGTGAATGTTTTGCTATGTTTTATACAGCAGTAATTCTATAAAACTTGTGCTGGTTTTGACTGGAGAATAGTTAACTTTCTTCCCTGGTTAGTGGCTGGTGTGGGCTGTGCTTTGGATGTGTGCTGAACACAGGGCTGACAGCAGAGATGTTTTGTTATTGCTCAGCAGGGCTCGCCCAGAGCCAAGGCCCTTCCTGCTTTTCACAGGGCCGTGCTGGTGAGGGCTGAGAGGAGCCACAGCCAGGACAGGTGACCCCACTGACCACAGGGCTGTTCCAGACCGTGTCACATCATGCCCAGCACATAAAGTGGGGGGAAGAAGAAGGAAGGAGGAACACTTGGGAGTGATGGTTTTCTTCCCAAGTCACCACGTGTGACAGGGCACTGCTCTCCTGGCTATGGCTGAACACTTGCCTGCCATGGGAAGCAGTGAATTAATTCCCTGTTTTGCTATGCTTTCCTTATAGCGAGTCTTCAACTCAACCCAGGACTTCTGGCTTTTACCCTCCCCATTCTCTACCTGATCTCACTGGTAGGGGAGTGAGAAAGGGGCTGCCTGGGCTTAAACCACAACACCTGTATTCCACCTTCTTCTACAACACAAAGGTAATTAAATACTTAATAGTTAATCAACACTGAGGTCCAAGATTTGTAACATCTTTAGAGACTAGTATCCACTGTCCAGATTTTATTTCAATGTTTTTGTACTTATTCCCTTGCTCCATTACTAAACTCAGAAAAATATCATTATAGGTTTCCTAATTTATACTCTTAACTTGAAAGTGGTTGAAGGCTGCTTTGTTGGTTTTGGCTTTTTTTTTAAACTGTAGAAGAACTGTAACTGCTAGTCCTGTTGAGTGAATAGGAACCTAAATAATTTGAACACAATTTCATTATTCAATTTAGTAAGATAATTCCAGAAGCTAAAATATGCCTTCAGGAAAGAATACCCATCTAGACAACTGGAATTATGTAATGACTTCAGACAGTATTGTGTCATCAATGCAATTATAAGAAATGTTTAGACATAGGGAGCAAGATTTCTTATTTTTTTGGGAAAATTATATAGGTAACTTTTTTCTTCAACCAGAAGAGTCACCAATTTGCTTCTGAAAAGAACAAACTACATCATTTATAAGTAAAAAGAATGAAAATATAGTTAGGGTTATTTTCTCCTCCTTAAGAAAAATCATACTGAGTCTATTAAGTTCAAACATTTTATATTTGTGAAGCTACAAGGGGAGGAAAAGTGGTACATACAGCTTAAGTACTATCACAACTGCACTTTTAACACCTGGATCATTAGGGGTATTAAAGTTCCAGCCCTGTCAGATACAAAGAGCTGCAGTTTTTCTGAACACTGAATATGATACCAGAGTAGTGCCTGCAAATGAAACCCAAATCTCTGAGGACTACAGTAATTTTTGTTATTTTAATTGGGTCATACTTCCAAGCATTAGAGTTACTATAGACAATTAAAGACAGAGTTGACTTACTACATTCTGTCAGCTATAATAAAACAACACTGTAACAGACATGAATAACTTTAAATCTGTCTATGTGTTGGTGCACTAAGCCATACCGACGGCATCAACAAGACCAATCACTTTAGAAAGCAGTGCAGAAAGCTTCTAAAAACAGTTAAGTAAAAGCATGAGTCACCGAATACTGTAAGCAGTTTTCCTGAATCACATGCAAAGCTGAATAAAATAGTAAATAAATAAAACAGTTCTATGTTACTACACACTACAAAGTATAACATACAAGAGAAAGAGATTTATTACAATTACTAACCTAAGTATTCCATCAGCTGTTCAGCTGTTATGATCTCCATCATTGGTGGCAGTTTAATCTGTCAAAGTAAAAGTATATTCTCTTTAAACACTGAAACACTACAATTTAAAAAGCATGGTATTTCTAGACAAAAGACTTCTGATTACATTTCCCTCACCAGTTTATAAGGCCATTAGCATACTGGACCTCTACTAAATAGCAGCCACAAGAAGAGATTAAACAAGCATTTAGGTTTTTAGAGAAACCACATGTACACAGCACTTTCTCCCACCTGCACATCTCTGCATAGAGACCAACCAAAACATTTCTCCAGCATCCCCCTCCACAGAGGCTCACACCACTCAATGCAGTGGCTCAACTACAAGCACTCAGAATTAACAGACTGTGGACTGCTTAAGAAAACGTCTTCTTCAAGTCTTTGACTCTCCAATTCCTTAAAATTCTTAACTGAGTATTAGCTTAAAAAGTTTCTGCATACAGACAAAGTCTGTAAAGGATCTAGTGTCAGTAGCTGCTGGGACAGGGAAGCTAAAGACCTGTGCAGGTATAAGGAAATGACCTCCCAGGCACTCTTCCCACATTCACATTCCAAGGGTTTGGTTTATCTCCATACAGAGCAGACCAGACACACAGAACTCTGTATAAAGATTCCATTCCTCTCTTCCCTGATCTATTCCCACCATCACCTACTATATCTATCCACCTTGGCAGAGCTAAAAGCTTTCTGCATTCTCATCTCTTCCAGCATCCTGGGTAAACTTTTTGGTTGATCACTTCCATTTACTGCAGGAAGAAATACAACAGCCAGAGCACAGACACATACAAAGACATGCTTCTGGCAATCTAAAAAAATACCATAGAAGTATACCGACTTCAAAAACAATGTACTCAACTTTTCTCTGCATAAATGTGAATTTTATTTTTCTAGGGTTTAGGGTTGGTTTGTCTCAGAGGTTAATTTTTAAGGCCTCTTCAGTTCTAAATTTTCTCATCTCACCACTCTCCAACATCTTACAATTCAAAGTCTAGAAAAGGTATTTATTATATTGGGAATTTTTTTAAATCAAGTTCCTCAATACTGATCACTGCTCTCTTTGACACATATAGAAAGACATGATGTGAAACTATTAATTCATGCTTAAGATTTAATAGGTTCCACCCACTTTCCTGGTTGTAGAGGAGAAGGGACAAGTAGAAAATCAGGAGACAGAAGAGCAATATACCTAAAGCCTTTGATTTAGCACCCCAAACTCAAATATACAGTATAGCAACAAACTACTTCGTTCACATTGTGATGGAGACAGTTTTCAGTATGAAAACAGAGCTACTTTAGTAACTTTGCAGGGAAAATGAGGTGTGATTGGGCTACATCTGTCTTATCAATTTTAATTATATTTGACAAAAGGTAAATGCGTTAATATACAAATTCACAAGAAGTTTCATTAAATTCGGGAGAAGAAAGAGACCCAAGTTAATATGGCTTTGTTATTTATACTCTAAGAAATATGTCCCTACTTGGGTGGGCATATAAAGAAGCTGGTAGTACTGGCATCTGGGAAAGGAATAAAGAAAATCAGGCATGTGTGCATAGACACATTGTTTTTTGAAAATATGAAATGAATGACAACTGACAGTAACTTACAGAAATTAACTCCTCCCAAAACTAATGCTCAATAAGCTAAATGCTTTCATACTCTTTGATCCTGTTCACAATGTTCCTTCTGAGTGTTCACAAAAATACAGTGTATTGAGCCATGTAAACAATAAGACTGCAAGTTCAAAAAACTGCCTTTTAAACTCCCAGTTGGGACTGGCAACATTGAAATCTTAGCAAACACCAGCTGTGCACCCCTGAGCCAGGGCTCATCACAGCCCCTAAGGCACAGAGCAGCATCACCTCCACCAGCCCTGCCTGAAGTGCTACGGCACTGACGTGCCAGTACATTATGAAGGAAAATCAGCACTGCTCCCTCAACTGTTAACTGGACTCCTGTGAAGATTTTTCAGGACTGGTGAGCTCTTTTTATTATTTATTTAAACCATTTTTATCAGCTCAGCCAGCATTGCTTGGGGGTTTCTGCTCTGCACCACATTTGGAACCTCTAGAAGCATGCTTACATGACAAACACCAACTCTAAAGCACAATTCCACAGCTAACCTGTATTTGAGTTCTATGTACAAACAGCACAACATATTTTTTATATCACTGGTTAACAAACAGAACTTTCCCTCACAACTGTAAAGCTAAACATTTATTTTTTTACTGCAGAAAAAGCAATGTGGTTTTACTCATCTCCAGGATCTCTCAAAATTGGATACTTTAGCAAGCTATGTCTCAAAATTAACAGCTTGATTAAATGCTAAGCAAAGTTAATTGCTTACTCCATGGCAATTTTAGGGCCGGCATGTGTAGTGGGACCTTGATCACACCTTTAAAATGGGCTAATGGGGTTCCAACATAGTTCTAAGTACTTTTGAACAGAGATGACCCAAAGATATAGAGAGAACATGACATTTCCCAGCTGTTCAGAGCTTCATTGCAAGCACTTAAGTGACAGGAAATGTACAGGAAATGGGAGAGAAAAATATCTTGGAACTTAAGGGAGAGCAAAACCTCATACAGAACCACAGTCATTGTCCAGATAAATGAACAGAAAAAAACAACATAAGCAACAGTAGTAGAAGCTGCTGTTGTCCATAACAATCTATTATTTTGAGGGACACATTTTGTCAATAGGTTTCAATGTTTAATTGCTAGATCTTAGATCAATTCCACATTTTAGGAAAAATGCATTTCCTCAGCTCCCACCCATTTCCTGCACCCCTGGTCTTTCACCCTGATAGCTCTTTCTAACTAGCTACATTTTACTTCCTACACTCAGGAGTGGGAAACTTAGTCCTTCTCACACAACTACAGCATGACATATGGATGAAGCGTATTTTAATTAAAAGACAAAACTGTTAAACAAATTTTCATAAGGAATATATTGTTTAATAAAACTTACAGTTTCTATAAATTAGACTACAAATCCCAAAACTACATAATACTAATTTTCCACCGGATTCTTCCACACTACAGAAGGGCTTAAAAAAAATTAAGTGATATAGTCATGCACAGAGGATAACACTTCCGAAAATACTATGAATATCAAAAGGGTCCAAGAAAATTTCTAATGGCTTATATAATAAGTCTTATGTAAGACTTATAGTCTCAAAACATGTTTATCTAAAAGATGCAAGTCTTCTGAACACAGTGTTTCAGAGAAGTAAGGGTAGCTTCAAGCAGCTTTGACAAAAAACAAGTTAATATTCTTTGCGAATAAGCACCCCTGGCCTGGCAGGAACAGCTCCGCGAACCTGTCACACGACAGCCCGACAGCAAGTGCTGCCACTCCACGTCCTCAGGCAGGCTCCCTTCATCCCCTCGGACTGGGCTTGGTGCTGTGCCTGGGCGCAGCTCCAGGCTGCGATCTGCGGGCTCCCCTCACCCCACAGGTGCCGGAGGAAGGGAGGCCGGGGCCCGCAGGCTGTGCGAGCAATCTGTGCCAAGCCGGGCCATACGGACAGAGCTCAGCAACAGGGACAGCGGCATCACGTGTGAAGGGCCAGTGCCAGCAGCACCACTGCAGCCTCTGACAAACGGACTGCATATCAGCAGGAGCTCGCTCTGCTCAGCTCCTCTGAAAAACAACATTTTATGAAGACCTAAAATGAAGAATTTCTAACTAGAATTTTTTACTCTACCTCTTCTCTGCACATCAGTTTGGATACATCTAAGCACAAAAGTGGTTATATAACATTTACTTACATAATTGTTATGATACCTCAATAGGTAATTCATACAGTTCTAAAAGTTACCAAAACTTCAGTAGAACTAGATGTGTAGGGAACACAGCTCCTTCCATTTAGTGAGAGGATTATGACACAAAAAACTTTCAAAGACATTTTAAAATATGTGACTGGCACTGTTCTCCTACAACATGATATTCCATATGCATGCACTTCTCAAGACAGTATTAATATTATTTATATTCAAATTGTAGAACGTTTTCCCTTTGCTTATTTTATGTTTCAAAATCTTTCCTGAACATTTCAGATATGCCACTTCAGCGCAACTTGTTAAGGTTCACAGAGTTCTTCAGCTTGAAGGCAACACATCCTACCTAAGAAGCACAGAGCAGAATCACATGGCACCCTCACTTTAGCTTTTAGCATCTGATGATTGCCACATTTCCCCCTGCCACAAATTACATTTAATTAAATTAATGTAGTCATAATGAAGTCATCAGAAAGTGTTGCATGAACTATATCTAACAAAGATCACAAAAGACACTTAGAAAAGCCAACTTTACATTGCTAAACCTAACCACATAGTAAGCTACAGGCCTGAGCAAAAACCGAACAATCTCCAGATTTAAATAAAGTAAAAAACAGTGTGCTACACTACTCCACATCAGAGGACACAACTCATGCTTGTACGTACATTTCAAAATGTTTGTTTCAATCCCTACTTCTGCTTCATTTCTATCACATAAGTCTAAGGGGTTATGACACTGTTTTGCACAACAGCTACTTTTCCAAGTTGGCATCATAGTGCTTCTGTTTTTTTTCTTCTTAGAACATTTCTGTAACACTCCTGTAGCAGAACTCCTTGGCTCTCCCTCTTACAGGCTAAACGGCAAGTTACACTTAGGCAGGCAGACTGCAAAAACACTTCAAAAGAAAAGTAATTTCATAATTTTAATATTTAAAATACAGCTTCTGCAATCTGCCACCTCAAAGTTTCATGTATCCTTTGAAAGTAGTGGATAAAAGAGAGGTAGCAGGTTTATCACAAGCTTAGTTCCAAAACCTGGTATTTCCAAAATGGAATTTGAACTGTCACAGTGGATGCTACTATTTCATAATTTCCAAAACCCCAACTGCCAAACCAGTACTGCACTCAAGTTGGCTGAGACCAAATCTATCCACGGGATGACCAGAACTCTCAACCCTGTCAGGACAGAGTTCTGAGAAGGAAAGATGATGGCTGATACAGGGAATAGAACCCAAAGCATAACTGTTTAACTTCTTATTCCC